GGACCCTTCTGAAGAAGGGTCCAGACCCGAAACGTCAGCTTTCCTGCTCCTCTGATGCTGCTTGGCCTGGTGTGTTCATCCAGCTCTACACCTTGTTACCTCAGATTCTCCAGCATCGGCAGTTCCTACTATCTGTTCATGATTTGGAACTGTGTAGCTCCAGTCCCCATGAGTGAGCCAGATTCATAAATTTAAAAAGTCAGTAATACTTGAGGAAAATATGGATTCACAATAAAGGCTAACGTAGCCAGCCATGCCCAGATCTTGAGGAATCAATGTTACAAAAATGGATTTGTAAGGTTTTTGAGTAAATTTGTAGCTCGGGTTGTGGATGTTGTGGTTGGTTGACTTGCCGAGCTGATCCGTTGTTCTGCAGACGTTTCATTACCCTGTTGGGTAACATCATCAGTGCAGCCTCCGATGAAGTTACCCAGCTGGATAATGAAATATCTGCGGAAGAATGGATCAGCTCGGCAAGTCAACCAGCCACAGAAAAAGAATTTGGCTTGAATCTTTTGGTTTAAATTAATTCATAGGATGTGGACGTCACTTACGAGGCCACCATTCATTGTCCATCCCTGGTAGCCCTTATGTAGGTGGTAGTGTCGGTATCACCTTGTATATGATGAAAGGCTTTGCTAGGGAGTTAATGGTCAACCATATAGCTCCTGGTCTGGAGGTGGGTGTGGGTCAAGCCAAATGAAAACAGCACGTTTTCCTTCCTAAAAGACATGAATGAACCAGATGGGTTTTGCAACAGTCCTGTCATTTGATCATCATTATTATTGAGGCAAGCTTCTTTTATACCAGATCTGCTGCTGAATATAAATTGCTTAGCTGTTGTGACCATGTTACAGGATCAGTTGCTCAGGTCTCAGGATTGTGGCTGTTTTAATATAACCAGTATGTTACCATATCTGTAGCTTATCGTTGTAGAAAAATGTCCTGTCATCTAGTTGATCATGACAAGTCCCTTGCAAAAATGGCCTCCTATAACAATTGTAATGATTCTGTAACAATTTTGATTTTCAAAAACATCTGGTTTGCGGACAGCTGGATGTTGGGCATCAAACCTGTAGTTTCTTGTGACCTGGAATTTTATTTGTCTCTTATTTTAGTTTCCCCAATTTTATTTGCAGAGCTGTCCATGATTATCTAAGTGACAAACCGTTCACGGAATACCAAGAAAGTATGTACTTCTCGCGATTCCTACAGTGGAAATGGTTAGAAAGGTAATGTCGTATGGGAATATCTTTAATTATAATTCTGATAACAACTCTGTTGATATCTTTCATGTAAAGAAGTGCCAGATTTAGTCTGAGTTCCTGGTATTCAACCAAGATGTAGTTTGTAAAGAGATCAGATTGATCTCATTGTTGGAATTCCTGCAGATTCAGAAGCCCCTTATATTCAGATGGTGAGCACTTGATTGTTTCTCTCTCCCTTCCCAACCACCCCCCAGGAAAACCCCCTCAAAACTGTCCCTCCCTCCATCAATGGGGGAGACTTTATCTTTGGGAAATGGTCCCTTCTGACTGTTGGTAGTTCCTGTGAACATCTTGACGTGTTGCTAAATTTGTTTTTGTGCCGCCTTTTGTGATTTTTGGCTTTCCTTCCCATGCCCCTAGCAGCTGTTTTCTATTGCAGCCACAACCCTTCTGGTTGAATGGGTGTTGCAGTGTTAATACCAACTGCAAGACCTCACCTGAAGTGCAGTAAGGATAGTGTTGTACATAGGCGAACTTGCCACTTTTGTTCTCAGTATAAAGCCAGGGCCCTCAAAAGTCATGGAACTGTATTACTTATGCTCTGGCGTCAACCTCACTGCTCCATTTTCTCACGACAGTCTTCAATTTCCACCTTTCCCCAGTAGAATTTTGATGATTGCTTCAGTTTTTTTTTAAACTGTCTTTGTTTTAAGGAATTTCTTTTGAGTAACATTCATGTTACATGAGTGCCAGGCAATGGCCATCTCTGATGAGAGAGATTCCCTAATCATCTCCCCTTGATATTCAATGACATCACCATCACGAATACCCCTACTATCAACATTCTCTGTTTTACCATTGACTAGAAACTGATATGGACTAGTCATGTACTGTGGCTACGAGAGTAGATCAGAGGCTAGAAATCTTGCAGTAACTCACCACCTGACTTCCCCAAAAACTTTGTCCATAGTCTACAAGTCAGGAGTTTGATGAAATGCTCTTCACTTAGCCGGGTGAGTGCACAGAATCATTGATTCATGGAAACATAGAGTACTGAAGAGGCCCATTGATCCTTTACTGCCAAAAATAGATTACCAGCTACACTAGTCCCACTTTCCCGCATTAGGCCCATAGCCTTGAATGTTATGACACTTACAGTGCTCATTGAAGTTTTTTTTTAAGAGGTTGTGAGGTTTCTTGCCTTAACAACCCTCCCAGGCAGTGCATTCCATACCACCACTGCCCTCGGTATGAAAAGATGTTTTCCTCAAATTCCCTCTAAACCTCTTGCTTTTCACTTTTAAAATTATGCCTCCTTGTTCCAGGTTTTAATAATTGAATTTAACTTCCACCTGCTGCCGTGGTGGAATTTGAACCTGTGTTCCCAAAGCAATAGCCTGGCCTTTGGATTACCTGTCCGGTGAATTTACCCCTATGTCACCACCTCCCCAAAGTGAATTATAGGATGCTCAATGACTCTGTATGAATCTGTGATAAGCACAGTCACTGTATAATCTCAGTAGTGCCCACATGACCATTGTGCACTTGACTGTGTCAACACTTGGTACACTGAGGGCATACTCATGGATTCTGATCTGACTTTACTCGCCTGTCCAAGATTCATGTCTCTTCTCTATCATCTTTTAATCTTTTTAGGCAACCTGCAACGAAAAACACCTTTAGACATTATCGAGTACTGGGAAAAGGAGGATTTGGTGAGGTAAGTTGCGGAATAATGTTTGTTCTTGAGTGCGTACCTGAAGGTTATTCTCCCATTTCTTGGAAAATAATAACCACTGTCCCCTCTATGAAGGAAAAAGCAACTTACTGCTCAAGTCACCGCTCATGTCCAGTCCCAAGTATCTTTTAAACAGCCTTGGAAGAGATCTCCTGACACTTCTGGGTCAAAATCCTGGAATTCCCTCCCTAATAGCATTGTGGGTCAACCCACAGCAGGAGGACTGCAGCGGTTCAAAAAGGCAGCTCACCCACCACCTTCTCAAGAGCAACTAGGGATGGGCAAGAAATGCTGGCCAGCCTGCGACTCCCACATCCCACAAAAATGAATAGGAAATAAAAGTTTAATGAGTGTAGCCAGTGAATGATTGACCCATAAAGATAAAGAAGATCTCATCGTGGGATCTGCTACCCTAGAGAGGAGAGGCCTCCCTGGGACTGATCTCCTACACACTGAACCCTGTGTGAAAGGTTGTACCCTCTGTGGTTGACTAGTTAGTAGTCACTAACTTAGCCACACATGACCATTTGGATGTGATATCCAGAGTGAAAACTGCCAGGACTGTATCTCATCTGAGTGTCATACACGGAAAAGGTGAAAGAGAGCAAGAATGTAATTAGGAGCAGAATTAAGCCATTCGAACCTTCACGCCTGCTCTATTTAACAAAATCATGCCTGATTTAATCTTGGCCTCAACTCTACTATCCTGCCCATTCCTCATAACCATAGCCCTTGACCTCCTCTTTCTTCCCTCCCCACCCCCACCACCTAAAATAGTTCAAGATTCTGTTAATTCAACCTTGAATACATTTAAGGAACCAGCTTCCATTCTTGTGTGTATGGTAGAATGTTTTGGAAATTCACAATCTTCTGAGAGAAGGATTCTTCCATCTCTCAATCTAAAATAGGCACTGTCTTATTTTGAAACTGTGTCCATTCATTCTAGATACTCCAACAAGAGGAAATAGTCCTCAGCATTCAGCCTGTCCAGTCCCCTGAGAAACTTCACTATTTCAATACAATCAAATTTTATTCTTTGAAACCCCAATGAACACTGGCCCAACCTGCTGATCCTTTCCTTGTAAGACAAGCTGTTCATCCCAGGGTTGAACTGAGTGAACATCCTCTGAATTTCTTCCATTGCAAATCTATTCCTCCTTCAGTAAGGAGTCCAAGTTGTTCAGGGTGTGTGGAGAAAGAAGCAGAGGGTGAATATTTCTTGGAAGATTTCATTACCAGTCTAATTGAGTTTCATGGATGACATTGACCTGGACTTTCCCAGAATGAAGCCAGAGTGGACTGGTGCCTCAACTCTGGGAGGTAGAGAGTGAGCAAAAGGGAAGTGGAGATCTGACGAGTGTCTGGGATTCTCTGATGTATCTGGTTGGCACTTGGGGCATTCCTGATGATGTTTTTGATTTTCTTCACTTGGTATGTTTCAACTTTGCTCAGTGTATTGCTCATGCTTTTAAGTCAGAAGGCTGTGGGTTAAAGTCTCGCTTCCAGACTTGGCACGTGAACTAAACTGACAATCCTTTGCTGGACTCGAGGAGCGATGCTGGACTGTCTTTCCAATTATCCCAAAGAGCAGACAAATTTCTATTGGTAATCCTGGCCAATATTTAACCCCTCAAATAATGTGAATCTCTTTTTTTAAAAAAGTGATGTAATCATGTGCTTTATTGCTATTTATGGGAGCTTGCTGTGTTCGATTTGGGTGCTGTGTCTCCAACATTACAACAACGCTTATCCTTCAGAACATACTTCATTGGCTGTAAAGTATTTTGGGATCCTGAGATTGTGAAAGTTGCTATATAAATGCAAGTCCTTTTCTTCTCTACACACTGTCCACAAAAGCTTATAAGTAATTTGACTAAATGGGCCTGTACTCATTGGAGTTTAGGAGAATGAGAGGCAACTTTGTTGAAACACATGCAAGTAGATGCAGAAGGTTTGTTCCTCCTGGGAGGGTCTAGGACCAGAGGGCATAATCTGAGAATAAGAGATTGCATGTTTATGACAAATGAGGAATCTCTTCTGAGGGTGGTAAATCTGCAGAAAACTACAAGGTACAGCATTGTAGAAGTTGGGTCATTAAGTATATTCAAGGCTGAGACAGACAGATTTTTAATGAGTAAGAAAATTTGAGGCTTATAGGAGAAAGGACACGAAAGTGGAGTTGAGGATTATCAGATCATCTATGAGCTCACTGAATGGTGGAGCAGACTTGATGGCCTGAATGGCCTTTTGCTATATCTTATGGTTTATTTGATTGCTCAGTTGCCCCACAGTTTTGCAGATGGTGCAGTATGGGGGTGGGATGGTCCTTGGAGAAAGAATCCAGGTCTTGTCTCATTGACCACTGCAAACCTCGACAGTGTCATCGTGATTCCTATTGGTGGAACTCTTGCCTTTGGGATTTGAGCATAGGTGGTAACGAGAGAGAGAGACGTGAATTTCTGCTGCAACTTCCACAACCTCAGGACACACCAGGGTGCTTCACAAATATTGATGTACTTACCACTTCATGTGCACTCTAATGTAGGAAATACAGTATCTCTCTTATGCAGAGCAAACTCCCAAAAACAGCAACGTGATTAAAACCAGCTAATCTGTTTTCAGATGTTGGTTGACAGCTAATTATTACGTATGTATTGAGTTAAGAGTAGGCCACTTGGCCCCTCCAGCCTGTTCCATGATTGTGCAATCAACCCACATTCCTATTTACCCATGTACCCTTTGCAAGTGAATAATATCATCTACCTCTGCCCTTTTTCAAAAAAATGTCAATGTTTACACCTCCGCCACTCTTGGGCTGAGAGCTCCAATCACACTCAACCCTCATGAAAAAATAAATGATCCTCACCACTACTCTAATTGGGAGGCCCCTAGTTCCAGTATTGAACAGAATACCAGCGAGAACTCCTCTGTTCATCCTCCAAAATAGTAGCAACTTGTTAAATCCTACCTTGTTCTTCGCCTGTTTTCTCCCCACCAGGTATGTGCTTGTCAAGTTCGTGCCACTGGGAAAATGTATGCGTGTAAAAAGCTGGAAAAGAAGAGGATAAAAAAACGTAAAGGAGAGAACATGGCATTAAATGAAAAGAAGATTTTGGAGAAAGTTAACAGTAGATTTGTTGTAAGTGCCACTAGGTCTTTTAAAATTATGCAAATATATTTTAGTTGTGTGCAAACAACTTGCATTTATACAGTGTCTTTGGTGAAATAAAATATTTCAACTTACTTCAAAACAGCAATACTAGAAAATATTTTGTATGCTGCTATGTCAGGAGCTATTATGATAGGTAGTTGATAGCTTGGTCAAAGTCAAATTTAATAGTTCCTCAAAAGGAAGAGAGGGAGGGGTTTAGGGAGAGAGGGTTCCACCAAAAGTCTCATGAATAGGTACAATGTTACTGAACCATTGATCTGATTAAGTTGAGTTAATAGTTATGATTATGTACAATTCATAGTTCCCTGGGATCTCTGCCTCAGCTGCTCACCCCTGCACTGAGCTCATTATAAGGTTGGCCAAGAACAGTAGCAGCTGAGTGTTATTTTGTACTATCCCGGTCTGGTTCCTTTAGAAAATAAGAACTTGGTGCAGGAGTAGGCAATTCAGCCCCTGGAGCCTGCTCCACCATTTAATATGATCATGACTGATCTTATCTCAGCCTGCACTCCCCTTTCCTAGAGTCCTAGCAACATAAAGCATGGAAATAGACCCTTCGGTCCAACTCTTCCACACCAAGCAGATATCCCATCTGACCCAGTCTCATATGCCAGCATTTGGCCCACATCCCTCTAAACTCTTCCTGTTCATATACCCATCCAGATGCCTTTTAAATTTTGTAATTCCTGCCCACACACTATAACCCTTTAACCTGATAGTAATTAAAAATCTGACTATTTTCTCCTCAAATTTGTTGTGTCCAGGTGTCTACTCCACTCTGGGGCAATGAGTTCCACAGTTTCATAGGCCTTTGAGAAAAGTAATTCCTCCTTGTCTGTCTGTTTTAAATTACAATCCCTCAGGCTAAAACTATGACCTCTTGTTCTAGGTTGCCCCACATGAGGAAATATCCTCCCTCCATCTATTTTGTCAATCCCCTTTAGCATCTTCTACACTGCAATTAGATCTCCCTCATTCATCTAAGCCCAACAGTATGGGCCTAAACTGCTTAATCTCTCCATAGTACAAGTTTTCTGTCTCTGGAATAATCTAGTGAATGTTCTGTGATCTGCCTCTAGTTCAATTACATCCTCCCTCAAGTTATCAAAACAGTATGGGGTACTTCCAGATGCAGTCTCACCAATGCCTTGTACAGTTGCAACAACACTTCCCTACTTTTATACTCTCTTCCTTTAGCAATAAATGCCAACATGCCATTTGTCCTCTTTATTACCTGCTGTACCCGCATGGCAGTTTTCTGCACAAGGACACTGATCTCTCTGCACAAAAGCAGTTTGAAATTTTTCTCCATTTAGATAATTTTGTCTTTTTAATTATTCTAGCCAAAATAGATTTGCCTCCTCTTCTCATGGCTGTTCCACATAGCAACTGTTCCAATGAAAGTGCACAGACATCTTGAGAGTAATCAGGAATGGTTAACAATTGCTGGCCTCAACATTGACACCCATATCTCATAAATTGTTTAAATTCCCCTCCAGCTGCCATGGTCAGATTTTATCCCCAGAGCATTATCCTGGGCCTTGGGGTAGCTAGATCAGTGATGCTACATGTTGCCATCTTCACTGGAGAGTGCTCAAGTAGGGATACTTGAGATCAGAATTTGATGGGCACTAATACCTGAGGGTTGCAGGGCTAAAAGAGATTATAGAAAGGGGGAGGCAAAGCTATGGAAGTTTAATGGAGGGCAGAAGATGGGAGGCCAGCCAAGAACATACTGGAATAGTTGAGTCTAGAACTATTAGAAGCATGGACGGGGCTGCATATGGGCTAAAGAGAGGTAAAGAGTTGAGATGTTCCATGATAATATGGAGGTGGAAGTAGGTGGCCTTAGTAACATGCAGGTGTGTGGGTGAGCGCTTATCTCGTGGTCAAATAGAATAGCCTTTCTTTCTAATCCTCAGTCCAGTGTAGAATTTACAGACTAGCATCAGATACCTTGCCAACACTCTCGGTCTGAACATACAGGTGAGTTAGGAGCAGGTGTAGGCCATTCAGCCTCCCATATCTGCTCTGCCGTTCAATAAGATTGTGGCTGATCTGATTCCAACCTCAGTTCCACAGTCTCGCCCATCCCTGATCAACTTTCCACTCTCTTCCCTTAAGAATCTATTTACCTCTGCTGTAAAAATACTCCATAGATGCTGCTTCAACTGCCTTTTGAGAAAGAGTTCTAAAGGCTCTGGGTGCTCCTGTGAGGGAAAAAAATATCTTCATCGTTGTCTTAAAGTGAACATCCCCACCCCCTGTTTTTAAGCTGTTGTTCCATGTCCAAACAGCCAAGATCCTTCAGGATCTTAAATGGTCCAAACAAGTTGCCCCTTACTCTTCTAAACTCATGTTTCTAAAGCTTTTCGTCTTGCACCCATTGAGAACTGCAATAGTTTATACTCTCGGAGAAAGGGATGCTGATAGGGTCAAATTATTAGCCAAATTTTTAACTGAGGAATTGCTACAGAAAAAAACAATGGGGTACTATAGGCTCCCTGTGTGTGGACATGTGCCACTTCTGGCAGGAGTAAATTACATAACAAGCTCAATTTATTAGCCTAAATTGCTGCTTTTTTAAAAATTCATTCATGGGATGTGGCTGTCTCTAGCTATGCCAGCATTTATTATCTGTCTTTAATTACCATTGAGAAGGTGGTGATGAGCTACCCCTTTGAACTGCTGCAGTGCTTGATGTGTAGCTACAGGGCAGTTAGGAAAGGCGTTCCAGGATTTTGACAGTGCAGAAACATCAATATTGTTCATGTCTGGATGGTGTGTGGCTTGGAGGGTAACTTGCAGATGGTGATGGTGGTGTTCACATGTAGGAATGTTGGTGGTGGGATGGTGCACTAGGCCAGCTGGCTGGTTTGTCCTGAGGGGTGTCAAGCTTTTTAAGTACTGCTGGAGTTGCACCCACTCGGACAAGTGGGGAGTATTCCATCTCACTCTTGATTGTAGGTGGCGGCAGGAGGTGAGTTACTTGCTGCAGAATTCTCAACACTCTGACTTGCTTTTGTAGTCATAGTGTTAATATAGTCAGTCTAGTTCAACTTCTGGTCAATAGTGACAGCCCAGGACGTTGACAGGGGTGGAATTCAGTGATGATAATGTCAAGGAGGATGGTTAGGTTCTCACTTGTTGGTTATTGTGTGATACTTGAATGGCTTAAATGTTCTTTGCAACTTTGGATGTTATCCAGGCCTTGCTACATATGGACAGACTGCTTCAGCATCTAAATGTCTCCTTGACACCCATAGTGATCTCTTACTAGTAATGTCATGCTCAGGTGCATCTATGCTGAATTGAAGAGGGTGAGGTCAAGTTTTTTTTCCCCGTCTTGGTTCCTTTACCCACACTCACCCAGTTTAACTGTTGCTACAGTCAGAGTTATTCATCAAGTGCTATACAATCATTGAATCACACCTAAACATGTTTTGCTTTGGATATTGAGTGCGGGCTGGTTGAATATGGTCTGTATTCTGCCTGTTATGAAGAAACAAATGGACGTTTGAAATCACAACAAATGCTGATGAAACAATAACTGAAAACCAGTACAACATGACTTTCTTTCTTTGGAACTTTGTTTTTATTTCAGATTCCCAGCATCCACAGTATTTTGCTTTTATATTATGCTATCAGCCAATTTTAGAGATGTCTGGCCTATGTCTATGATGATCTTTAATTGTGTGGTGGGTAGAATATCTGTCTTTTTGGACTGACAGCATTATTCTATTAATGCAATATACTGTTGCACAGCTGTTTCTGTGTATGTGTCTGTATGATCATTATGAAAAATTCTTTGCTTTCTCTGTTGATTTTTCAGGTTAGTTTAGCGTATGCCTATGAAACAAAGGAAGCACTTTGTCTGGTACTAACCATAATGAATGGAGGGGACCTGAAATTTCACATTTACAATATGGGCAACCCAGGTTTCGATGAGAAGAGAGCGATATTCTATGCTGCTGAGATCTGTTGTGGCCTGGAGGACTTGCACAAAGAGAGAATTGTATACAGGTAATGATGCTGGAGTGTGGTGTGTGTGTGTGTGTGTGTGGGGGGGGGAGGCGGGGCTGGGTGTGTCAGTGATGCTTGGTATGTGGTGTATATTGAGCCCTTGTTCAGTGCTGTTTCTGTGTCTCTGCCTCCTTATTTCTTGCTGTTTCCACCACCTCTCATATACCCTCACCTTCTCATGATTTAGGTCAAAAATCACACGACAACTGGTTTAGTGTGTTACACTATGCCTGAGGAAGGAGCTGAGCTCAAAAAGCTTGTGTTTTCAAATAAACCTGTTGGACAATAACCTGGTGTCATGTAATGTTTGACCCTGTCTAACCCAGTCCAATGCTGGTATCTCCATATCATCTCATGATTTATGCATGGATCCCTCTAGTGGACAACATGAGAATTATTGGGGGAAAAACCATTAGAATTAACATGGTATTTAAAAAATCATTTTACATAGATGATTGAGTTGGGGACTAAGTGTGGTATGTCAAAATTTGCAGATGACACTAAGATGAATGGTAGAGCAAAGTGTGCAGAAGACACTGAAAGTCTGCAGAGGGATATAGATAGTCTAAGTGAGTGGGCAAAGGTCTGGCAGATGGAGTACAATGTTGATAAGTGTGAGGTCATCCATTTTGGTAGGAATAACAGCAAAATGGACTATGTTTTAAATGGTGAAAAATTGCTGCACGCTGCTGTGCAGAGGGACCTGGATGTCCTTGTGCATGAATCGCTAAAAGTAGGATTGCAGGTGCAGCAGGTAATTAAAAAGGCAAATGGAATTTTGTCTGTCATTGCTCGAGGGATGGAGTTTAAAAACAGGGAGGCTATGCTGCAGCTGTATAGGGTCCTGGTGAGGCCACACCTGGAGTACTGTGTGCAGTTTTGGTCTCCTTACTTGAGAAGAGATATACTAGCACTGGAGGGGGTGCAGAGGAGATTCACTCAGTTGATTCCAGAGTTGAGAGGGTTGGATTATGAGGAGAGACTGAGTAGACTGGGATTATACTCATTAGAATTCAGAAGAATGAGGGGAGATCTTCTAGAAACATATAAGATTATGAAGGGAATAGATAAGGTGGAGGCAGGAAGGTTGTTTCCGCTAGCAGGTGAAACTAGGACTAGAGGGCATTGCCTCAAAATAAAGGGAAGCAGATGTAGAACTGAGGTCAGGAGGAACTTCTTCACCCAAAGGGTTGTGAATCTGTGGAATTCCCTGCCCAGTGAAGCGGTTGAAGCTACCTCGCTGAATGTTTTTTAAGGCAAGGCTAGATAAATTTTTGAACAGTAAAGGAATTAAGGGTTATGGTGAGTGGGCGGGTAAGTGGAGCTGAGTCTCAAAGATCAGCCATGATTTTATTGAATGGCGGGGCAGGCTCGAGGGGCCGGATGGCCTACTCCTGCTCCTAGTTCTTATGATTATATATTATTTGATTCCACTGTCTTTGATTCTCTTTGCAATATCAAGTGACAATTTTTGAGTAGAATGAAATGTAGTGCTTGTAAGTTTCTGTTTGTAGGCATTATATGGGAGTTGGGGGAAGGTGATGGTGGGCTGGTAATGTCACTGCACTGGTAATTGAACTGATGTTCTGGGGTCCACTGATTCAAATCCCACTGTGACAACTGATGCACTTTAAATTCAATTTATAAATCTGGAATGTAAAGCTAATCGTTGTAAATCTGGCACAAAACTATCATTGATTGTTGTGATGACCCATTTGTCGCATTGACTTCCTTTTAGGGAAGGAAATCTTAGAATTGGTATGGTGCAGGTGAATGCCTATCTGCACCATACCAATTTAGTGAGGATACTCTTTAGGGGTCATCATTAGAGAGGATATGAGTAGACCTGAGAAACAAGAAGGGGATGGTCACTCTGTTGGGACTGTATTATAGACCCCCAAATAGCCAACGGGTACTAGAGGAGCGGATGAGCAGAAAACAGCGTCACAGGTGGACAGGGTGGTAAAGAAGGAATTTAGCATGCTGGCCTTCATCGGTCAAGGCACGGAGTATAGGAGTTGGGACATTATGTTACAGTTGTATAAGTCGTTGGTGAGGCCGCACTTGGAGCATTGTGTACAGTTTTGGGCACTCTGTTATTGGAAAGACATAGTTAAATTGGAAAGTGTGCAAAGATTTGTGAGGATGTTAACAGGACTAGTAGGCTTGAGTTACAAGGAGAGGTCGGCCAGGATAGGACTTTATTCCTTGGAATGTAGGAGAATGAACCTTTATTGAGATGTATAAAATCGTGAGGAGTATAGATAAGATGAATATATATAGTTTTTTTTCCTGGGGATGGGGAATTGAAAACTAGAGGGCATTCGTTTAAGTTGAGAGGGGAAATCTTTAAGAAGGACCTCAGGGGCAACTTCTTCACACAGAGAGTGGTGCATATATGGAATGGGCTGGTGGAGAAAGTGGCTGTGGCAGGTACAATAGCAATATTTTAAGAAAACATTTGGATAGGTACATGGCTGGGAAGGATTTAGAGGGATATGGACCAAATGTGGACAATTGGAACTAGCTGAGTGGGCACCATGGTCAACATGGACCAGTTTGGGGCCGAAGGACCTGTTTCCATGCTGTATTACCGTATGTTCTATGCTGTTCAGCACATGTCTGTACTAGCTCACTGATCATTTTGATGTATTCCATAACCCTGCTCATTATGTTTTAAATAATCATTAAATAATCTTTTGAATCCCTCAGCTGAAGCTGCAGCCAACAAACTTCCAGGCTGTGCAATCCATACTCTAACTACTCGCTGTCTGACAAATTTTCATGCCTTGTGTTTCTTTACCCTCTGGTTCTTAATCTGTTTGAGTGGGAACAATTTCTTCCTACCTACTCTGTCCCAGCCTCTCATCATTTTGAAAGCTTCTATTGAATTTTCTTTTAGCCTCTTTCTCTTCCTCATAATTGAAGTATCTCCCTGGAACCATTGCCAAAAGCAATATCATCCTTACTTGGACTGGCCTACATCTGACTTCATACATTCAGCAATAAGGCTAGTGACCTGTTCGAAGAGAAACTAGCTATGGAAATATATCTAAACACACAATTTCCCTGCCTTGTTAAGATGGCAAACAATAAGAAGTTCTGAAGCAGGGTCCAGACCCGAAACATCAGCTTCTCTGCTCCTCTGATGCTGCTTGGCCTGCTGTGTTCATCCAGCTCTAAATCTTGTTATCCCAGTAAGAAGTTTAAGATGGTTTTGGTCATAAAGTCCATTGACCCTGTTCTGCCCTTTAGCAGATCAGGGCTGATCTCTTATCTTGACTCCATCTTCTCATAAGATAAAAAAACGAAAGAACTGTGGATGCTTTAAATCAGAAACAAAAACACAAGTTGCTGGAAAAGCTCTGCAGGTCTGGCAGCATCTGTGAAGAGAAATCAGAGTTAACGTTTCAGGTCCAGTGACCCTTCCTCGGAACTCTGTAGGACCTGTTTTATTCCTTCTTGGGAAATCCATTAACTCAGATTTCTCTTCACAGATGCTGCCAGACCTACTGAGCTTTTCCAGCAACTTCTGTTTTTGTTCCATCTTGTCCTATCTATTAATTCCATGGAGTCTACAAGTCTATCACTCTTTTTTTTGTCCTGAATATGCACAATTCTGTGGGATATAGAATTCCAAACATTCACAGCCCTTTGAGTGAAACCATTTTTCCTTATCTCAGTCCTAAATAGCTGAACTCCTGTCTTGAGTGCTTGACTTTTGCATCACAGGTTTCCCAGGAAGGAGAGGCAGTCTCTCTGTAACTATGCTGTTTGAGTCTTGTATACTACAATTGGATTGTTTTTCAGTTGAAATTGCAACACCTGTTGGTCTAATTTAACATCTCTACTAATTGGACAATCCTTTCATATGGTCCTTTCGTGCCATAATAATTCCATAACCGGGAGTTCAAAATCCATCTTTGCAATTTCATGACTTGAATAAAAAGTTTGAAAACAAAATGCCAGTGTCCTTGAAAATGACTCTGTAGTTTTCTGACTGAGAGAAACAACATTTCTGTTCTTTTCTGTCTTCATCCATCTAGCTCATATAATGCCACTGAAGTGCCATCGCTGACATGGTTATCACTTAACTACCACTTAAATTCTATAGGACCTATTTTATTCCTTCTTGGGATGTGAATGTTGCTGGCAACCAGCATTTGTTGCCCATCCCTACTTGCTCTTTATCTGAATAGCTTGATGGACCATTTCAAAAGGGCAGTTCAGAGTCAACCATGTTGCTGATTATGGAGTCATGTGTAGGCCATATGAGATCAGGATGGCAATTTGTTTCTCTAAAGGATGTTTTAACAAGCTTTTTACAGTGTCTGATATTGTAGAATTTCACATTTGTTAATTGAATTTAAACTCTAACAGCTGCTCTGGTGAGATTCAAACCCATGTGATTGACGTGCAATAGTGTTACTCTCACTGAAGCCCCCACTATCAACAGCTTTAGGTTGCCATTGATCAGAAACTGAATTGGACTAGCCATATAAATGCTGTGGCTGCAACAATAGGCCAAAGGCTAGGAATCCTACAGTGAGTAACTCCCCTCCTGACTCCCTGTCCACCATATATAAGGCACAAGGCAGCAGTGTAATGGAATATTCCCCACTTACTTGGATGAATGAAGCTCCAACAACACTCAAGAAGCTTGACATCGTTCATGACAAAGCAGTTTGCTTGCTTGGCACTACATCAAACATTCACTCCCCCTACCACTGATGTCCAGTAGTAGCAGTGATTAGTTGCACTGGAGAAATTCATCAAAGTTCCTTTGACATCACCTTCCAAACCCAAGGCCACTACCACCTAGAAGGATGAGGACAGCAGATATCTGGGAACCTGCAAGTTCCCGTCCAAGTCCCTCAACATCCTGACTTGGAAATATATCACTCATTCTTCAGTGTCACTGGGCATTATCCTGGAATTCTCTCCCTGACAGCATTGTTGGTGTACGTACATCAAAGGGACTGCAGTTGTTGAAGAAGGCAGGTCATCATCTCCTTCTTAGGGCAACTAGGATTCGGCAGAAAAAACTGGTCCAGTTAGTGACGCCCATATCCAATGAATGAATGAATGGGGGAGAAAACGTCACCAGGGTGTGAGCTTTCCCTCAGGATTGATAATCCGATGACACTGTGCTATATCTCCCATATATGCTATATGGTTATAGAACCATATGATGCAACACAGTTGGAGGCCATTCAGTCTATCATGGTGGAGCAGTCAAAAAGCTGTGGGGGCTATTGTGCTGCAGTGGTAGTGTCCCTACCTTTAAGACAGGAGGCGTGGGTTCAAGTCATATCTGCTCCAGAGATTTTTCATAACATCTCTGAATAGCTTGATTAGAAAATACCTACAGCAGTCTAATTAATCTCTCTCCCTTGTTCTTCTAACATAGTTCTGCAATTATTTTTCATCTCAAGTGTTTATCTGATTTTCTTTTGAATCTTAAATATTTGAGTTCCTTGTTGTTTTTGTCATAAACTTACTGCATTTAATTCTTTTTCCCCTCCCCTCATTTAGAGATTTGAAGCCAGAGAACATTCTACTGGACGATCATGGTAAGATTTTTTATATGAAAGTGGCACTTTGTTGGTCTGGGTGCAAAAATGAGTTTCCAGCTATGATAGCAAGAATCGGGAAAGGATTGACAAGTTGGCTGTCTTTTCTCTTTCTCCTCAAAGGCTGAGGGTGACCTCAAGTTTGTAAAATTGAGAAACGTTTTTAGGTTGAGACCCGTCCATTGGTTTCCCTGATAACATGAATACAACTCTGTTGGTCTACCCTCATGGATTCTGCCTCCCATCGAGTCTGGGTTTCTGGTTTCAGTCCTGCACTGCAGGAAGTTACCTTGTTAAACTTAACTATCCCTATAATCTGCTGCCACTCTATCTCTGTCTCATCTAAAAATGACTCTAGTCTGACTTGAAGGAGCTTCAATATCCTATTTAAAAATGAAAGTTTGGAATCCTGATCATTGTAGTGAAGTTGTCTATTACTGCAAGTCTGCTGGTAGGATAGGCACTCCAACATTGGTGTCCCTTTTAAGGCCAGCATTCCCAGTGTGGAGGCACTGACTACTGTCAGTCAGGTGCTTTAGGTAGGGCACACAGTTTGCATGAGATGACTTCCAAAACAAGCTCTTAATTCCAAGCTTCTGCATAATAAAGTTACCAGGAGGGCAGAGGAAATGTTTCAAGGATGTCCTCGAAGCTGCCTTGGAAAAAATACAAAATCCCCATTAACTCATGGGAATCTCTAGCCTGAGATCACCCAAACTAGAGAAGAAGACTCTGTAAATATGCCAACGTTACTGAATGTCTCACGTCCAGATGGAGGTCAAGTGCAAACATTGGAAAGAACGTGTGAAAACCTTAGCATCCTCCCACCTGCTGTAGGAAACACCACCCCACAATCTGGCAGAGTCTGTGGATCGTCTTGGACCATTTAGTCACCACGTGACCACAGCATTGGAGTGGAAGAAGGTCATCTTCCAGCCAAAAACTGCTGCCTTAGTGAGAGTTCTTCTTCCATCGCTCGCACTCTCTTTTGCTGTCGCCCTCTCTCTCATGCGTTCTCTCCCCCTGCCCCCAAAATAATCCTGATACTGTGTGACTGTTGAGACGCATTCCCATTGTGTCTACGTTATCAAAACTTTAGTACCATGAGAATGTTCCCAATTTGGGGGAAGGTAAGAGCAAAACTGGAGGCCATGAATATAAGACCGTCACAAATTAATCCCATTGGGAATTTCGAGCAATGTATGCACCCAGAGAGCAGTGAGGCTGTGGAATTTGCTGATATGTAGTCTGGTTGAAGGTGCTTCCGGCTGAGGATAAAGAAAAGTGAACTGAAGGAATTCTGAATTGAATTTAAAAACTAAAGACTTGCGTTTGTCTAGTAAAAGATTCACAAAACCCTCCCCATTAAACAGTACTTTTTGCAAACCATCCAGCATTCTTCTCCTACATTATTTTCCATTTACATCGATATTCTTGCAAACAGTGCTGATGAGAGCAAGACAAATTCTAGCAATACTTTAGGTTCAAGTGATTAATAAATACTTGGTTTGAAAGCTGGTCTCATCAATGGTTGTAAAAACGTATTTAGTTCGCTGTCCTTACTCTGTCCTGCCTACATCCACAGTAATGTGGTTAACTCTTAACTGCCTTCTGAAATGGCCCAGCAAGCATTGGTGGGTTCAAATATCGCCATGGCCGATGGTGTAACTTGAATTCAATGCATTAATAATTCTGAAAGTGAAAGCTAGTTTCAGTAGAGATGCTTGTAAGACTATCATCAATGACTCACTAATGTTATTTAGGACAAATACTCTTTTGATTCTCTTGTTATTCTGTCAAGAAAAAATCGCTACATGAAAGAGCGTTACATAAATGCAAGTTGTTCAGTCAGGAGTATATTCTCTCCATTGCTCACCATCCAACATCGTCTAATATGCTTTACCCTCAGGGCACATCAGGATTTCTGATCTGGGTTTAGCCGTGCAGATTCCAGAGGATGAGACGATTCGGGGGAGAGTTGGAACTGTTGGATACATGGGTGAGTGCTGGTACCTCCAAGCCTTATCAGCAGGATGTCAGCTGATCAAAGACGTTTCACTGCTAGCTCATCTTGCTATGGAATCCAGCGGTCAAATTATTTTTAAGAAAGTAGTCTCCAGTCCACAAATATAGGGTGATATCCATTCTTGTACAACAACCACCCAGCTCACACCAAGCCATGGTCACACTTGTTCACTGAGTAAATATTTTCTGAAGAAGAGTCTAGGCTTGAAACATCAGCTTTCCAGCTCCTCTGATGCTGCTTGGCCTGCTGTGTTCATCCAGCTCTACACCTTGTTATCTCCTATACCTCATCAAGTTGCCTTTGAAAAGGTGATGCACCCATGATGCTGATTAGGAAGGGTGAGTTGAGATTTCGAACCAGTGAAAATGAAGGAGCAGCATTATGCTAGTTAACACATTCTAGTTAATACAACTCTATTTTATTGACATCTCCAGCTATTTTTAATGTTTGCTGTTCGAATCGCGTCTGATCTTCCTCTTGCTAAACTAAAAACATTAGCTCCTCTAAGGCAAACTTGATTTTGGACAACAACTGGCACAAATTGAGAAATAGAGACATTGAAAGGAAAATAGAGAAGGAGTAGGCTGTTTGGCCTTTCAAGCCTCCTCCACCATTCAATATGATCAGGGCTGATTGTCCAACTCAGTATCCTGTTCCCACAGAGAAAAAACTGGAAATAGAGTCCATGAAACTGTTGTCAATTGTTGGTAAAAACCCATCTGTTTCACTAATGCCCTTTAGGGAAGGAAACTGCCATCCTTACCTGGTCTGGCCTACATGTGTCTCCAGACCCATAGGAATGTGATTGACTCTTTATGCCTCTAGGATGGTGAATAAATACTGGCCTAGCCAGTGACTCTCTCATCCTGTGAATGTGTAAAAAAACAAATTGCTCCCATATTCTTTGTTCCATTTAGTCCTAAGAACAATATTTAACAGGTTAAAAACATCCAATGATTTGGCCGCGCTTTGTGGCAGAGAATTCCACAGGTTCATCACTCATTGGTGAAAATGTTTCTCCTCAACTCCGTATGAAATGTCTCACCCTGTATCCTTAAACTTCGAGCCCTGATTCTGGAACTTGGATTCCTCCTGGTCGGAGTAGCTCAGTGTGGTGAGATTGCAGAGTTAGATCTTCTGCCCTTACGATTCTCTAGGAGCAGGAGTAGATGGCCTCTTGAGCCACCTCATTGTGTAATGAGATCACAGCTGATCTTCTATTTCAACAGTTTTCCTACAGTAATCTGTTTCCCTGATATTTTTGATTTGTAGAAACTAAACCTCCAACCCTTTGGGACAAAGAATTCCAAACATTGACCATTCTCTAAAGTGAAGGAATTCCTCCTCATTAATTTCCTAATTGGTCTTCCCCTTATTCTGGTCCTAGAACTGCATCACCATAAGTACTTCAAACCACCACCTCCACCCCACCCCATATTTTTTCTGCTTGTACCGTCGATTTCTGTAAGAATTTTGCACACTTGAATGAGATCAGCTTTCATTCTTCCACATTTCATAAAAAGGTCCCATCTTTCTTCATACATCCATCTCCCTACCCAGGAATCTGTCTGGTGGACCGATGTTGTATATCTTTTCTTGAGTAAGGAGAACAAAAGAGTAGAATACTGCAAACGTGGCCCGACCAAGATTTGTGCCTTTGAAGCAAGACACCTTTATTCCTTTACTCAAATCTTCTGGTAATAATGGTCAGAATGAAGCTCGTGCCAGAAAGATTTATGTCTGAATTCATCTTAATGCATAGGGGTTAGTGCATCTTATTGTCACTGTTCTTGGTGAGAAAGAAAGACTAACTTGTCTTTTTGTTTTAAGAGGGCCTGTTGGGATTCTCTGGGGTTACAAAGTGCTGTAGAGCCAATGATATTCCTATGAAATGTGGCAAAGCTAATTTATGCACAGCAAACTCCCAGAAACAGTTGTGAGTTACTGACCAGATAACCTGTAGTAGTGATAGATACTGGCCAAGGAGTTCACAAGTTCTTTGAAATAGTGCCATGAGATCTCTTATGTTCACCTAAAAGGGCAGACATGTCCTGGGTTTAATGTCTCATTAGACAGAGCAGCACTCCTTAAATATTGCAATGAGATTGTCAGCTGAGGTCATCCACTCGAGTCTTTGGAGGGAGGTGTAAATCTATGAATCCTGATTTGGGCAGGGTTTCTACCAATGATAATGCAGCTGACAGCTGGATGAAGGCATGTGTGCAATATTAGAATTGTTCACTTGACTGATTCTTGGGCTGTGGAGATTATCTTATGTGGACAGGTTGGGCCTCTATCAGCTGAAGTTTAGAAGAATGAAAGGTGATCATATTGAAACTTGCGAAGTCCTGAGGGCACTTCATGGGACCTGACCAGGTAGATGCTGAAAGGATTTGAAACGGATGAGAATTTTTCTGAGGGTTGAAAGTCTTTGGAACTCCCTTTCTACAAAGGCGATAGACACAGAACCTTGAACTGGACTAGCCATACAAATAGTGTGGCTACAACAGCAGTGCAGATGCTTAGGAATCCTGCAGCAACTAACTCATCTCATGACTCCCCAAAACCTGTCTACAAGGCACAAGTCAGGAGTGTGACAGAATACTCCCCACTTTCCTGAATGAGGGCAACTCTAACAACACTCGAGAAGCTTGACACCATACAGGAAAAGGCAGCCTGCTTGATTGGCAATACATGTACAAGCATTCCACCACATTCTCCATCCCATCACTTCTCCCCCTCCCACCCCGCGCCACCACTGCCATTCAACAGTGTGTACTATCTACAAGATGCACTGCAGAAATGCGGAGGCTCTTTAGACAGCACCTTCCAAACACTTGATCATTACCATCTTGAAGGACATGGGAACACTGCCACCTGTAGGTTCTCCTTCAAGCTACTTATCATCCTGCCTTGGGAGCTACATCACCAGTGCTGGGCCAAAATCCCAGAACACCTTCCACAACAGCATTGTGGATGGACCTACAGCAAATGAACTGCAGTAGTTCAAGAAGGTGGATCACCGCCATCTTCCAAGGCTGATTAGAGATGCTGACCCAGCCAATAAAACCACATCCTCTAAATGAATTTAAGAAAAGAGTTAGATATATTCTTTTTAGAGAGTTTTATTAGGGGTAGATGGAAATATGGAGTAATTAGATTGGCCATGATCATATTGAATTTTGGAGCCTACTCTTCCTTGTTCGTATATTTTCTCTTGTGGGAGAGTCTGGAACCAAAGGAGACTGTCAAGAAATGAGTGATTTCCCCCTTTTTAGATTATAATTGGGTGGGATGCCCTTCAAAGAGGTGCTGCAGGCTCGAGTTGAATACCCTCTATCTGCACTGTAGAGATTCCAGGATTTAAGTTGGAGATGAGGAATTTTGTTTCCTCTTGAGCTGTGAGTTTGTGGAATTCTTTTGTACGGAGTGTGGAGGAGGTGAGTTTATTGACTATTTTAAGGTAGGTGTAGATGGCTTCTTGGCTAAGAAGTGAGTCAGAGGTTGAGAGGGCTAGGCAATAATGTGGAGTTGAGGCCACAATCAGATCAACTATGATCTTGTAAAACGGCGGAGCAGGCTTGAGAGACTGGCTGGTCCAATTTGTACGTGGATGGTATAGACCAGCTGGGCCAAATGTCCTCGGCTGTAAATTCTAAGCAATTCTCCTTTGTTTTTAAGCTCCGGAGGTTATCAACAATGAACGTTACACGTTCAGCCCTGACTGGTGGGGTCTCGGCTGTCTGATTTATGAGATGATTCAGGGTCAGTCGCCTTTTCGAAAGCGTAAGGAGAAGGTAAAACGGGAGGAGGTTGACCGCCGGGTCAGAGAGGATACGGAGGAATATTCTGATAAGTTCTCAGAAGAGCCACGTTCCATCTGTAAGATGGTGAGTAAGTTGGTTTCTGGAAGGTTTATCGTAAAGCTGCTGTGGTAACTCGGGGATATCTGGAAGGTTAGAGCAGCCTGGGAAGGGAGGAATTGATATGAGGACTTAAGCATAATCTCCCGACAAAACTGTGTCTCTGCAGACCAACAGATCCTCCAATTAATGGCAAAATATTTCAGATGCTGGAAATCTGAAAAACAGAAAATGCTGGGAAAATCTCAATATGTCTGACAGGATCCAAAGACAGAGAAACACAGTTTATGTTTCAATTTGGTATGATTCTTCAGACTTCTGAATTCAGTCAGACCTTTCAAATGGATAATTATCTGAAATAGTATCATTTGCAGGGCTACAAGGAAAAAGCAGGAGACAAGTATCGGGGGGAATTGCTCTTGCAGAGAGCCGAGATAGACAGAAGCCCTTGGCCGTGTCTATGGTGTAACCATTCTATGATTCTCTAATTTGTTAATTTTCTTGCATCTCAATGGCCTTTTGCAGTTGCTGACCAAAGATCCAAAGCAACGATTGGGCTGTCGAGGAGGGGGAGCTAGTGAGGTCAAGCAACATCCTATATTCCGACACATCAATTTCAAAAGACTCGAGGCAAACATGTGGGACCCTCCTTTCGTTCCAGATGTGAGTACACAGTGATTTGAATACTGTCACAAAGCTACAAATTTTGCCTGTGGAATATTGGTGTGGGTTTAAATATCAGACTGACTCTTCAACCATTTGTGGACTTAATATTTTAAGTGAAAACGCCAAACGCTGACACTTCAGTCTGGTGAGGATTCAGAAGTAAGCATCAGGATAACTGAGAGGAAGAGAAATGTGGATTAGTTTTGCAACCCTGACCATACTTGCAGACTCTTCTTTCATCTGCTCTCCTAGTTGGATGGAAATATCCCTAGGCTCCTGCTTGGAAGAACAACAGTGGAGTTCGCCTGGTGTTCTTATCAATTATCCTTCAACCAACATCTCAAATGGTTTAATACAGAAAGTTACTGTTATTCTTTGCAGACAGCAAGATCACGTGCATTGCACCTATCTCACCTCAACAGAATGGGTGACAGCCGTTTGATGGTTCATTTCTTGGGGCAATGCCTTGAACAATTGGAGTCAATCTACCTGGTTGAAAACTTAAACAAAACTTGGTTAACTGTACGGTCATCTTCTTACTGGTGCATTCTCCAGTGGCAACCCCTCTGCTGATGAAAGCCCACATGCCAACCAGCACTATCTTAGCATCCAGCATAAATGTTTTCCCTTTGGTATTTCTTGCAAAATCTCCTGATGACTGCAAGATGAAAAGGTTCTGCAAGATGAAAAGGTTCAACAAAATGACTTTTCCCAGCAGTACTTAAGTTCTGTATTATCAAGCGACTACAGAAGGGTCGCATGGTTGTTCAGTGGTTAGCACTGCTGCCTCTCAGGGCCAGGGACCCAGGTTCAATTCCAGTGGAGTTTGCACATCCAGCCACCTCCCCCCTCCTCCTCCAAACCCTGTGCCTGTGCAGGTTTCCTCTGGGAGCTCCACTTTCCTCCCACAGTTCAAAGATGTACAGATTAGGTGGATTGGCAATGCTAAGTTGCTCATAGTGTCTAGGGTGGGAAAAACAGGGATGGGTAGGGGGTGGGTCTAGGTAGGATGCTCTTCAGAGATTTGGTGTGGACTCGATGGGCCGGATGGCCTGCTTCCACATTCTAGAGATTCTTCTAATCTACGATTTGTGTGAAACGTTCAGCACAGAAACAGGCCTTTTATCCCAAATAGTCTATACTGGTAGTTGTACAAAGTGCTCCCCACCTCTTTACCCTACCTCAGCCCAACTAATCACACTATCCCTTTCCTCCATGTGTTTAACCCACTTCCCTTTCAATGTATCACCATTATATATCTCCTTGTTAGTGAGATCTTGCTGTGTGCTAGTGGTTACTGCATTACCTACAGTTGAGAAATGGCTACATTTTGGCAATACTTCTGAAGTGCTTCACAACCAATGACAGTTGTTCAAGGGGCTGTATAAATGCTTCTTTTTTGTTTATTTTGCAGCCCAGAGCAGTTTACTGCAAAGATGTCCTGGATATCGAACAGTTCTCCACAGTCAAAGGGGTAAACCTGGATCCAACAGATGATGACTTCTACTCCAAATTTGTTACAGGCAGCGTCTCCATTCCTTGGCAAAATGAGGTAATGTAACCTGTCTGCAGTGACTAACAGTGTAAGTATGTGGAGTTTTTGTTATCAGAAGCTGAATGCCAAATGCACATAGTGGGATTCAATACTTGTTGCCTGGCTGTAAGCTAACAGCAGAGTGACTTCTTATTTGGATTCATCCATGTTTTCTGCCCCTGACGGTCTGTTCCAGTAATGCAGGGAGATCCCCTCATAGCTGAAAAGTTATGACAAACTTCTATGAATTGCTATCCAGTTGTGGGCACCACACCTTCGGGAAGATAATGGGTCTCTGGAGAGGGTGCAGAAAAAATTTGCAAGAATAGTATCAGGGAGGGTCTTAAGTTATCAAGCAGAGGGGGTTAAGGTTAGATTTAAGTAGGAGCAAATCACTGCAGATGCTGGAATCTGTAATGGAAACAAAAATGCCATAAATCAGCGGGTCAGGCAGCATCCATGGACAGGGAGCAAGCTAACATTTCACATCTAGATGACTTTTCAGTGGAGCTGATGTAAACTGTGGAGGGGGCAGCATTTAATAGTGGGAGAAAGAGTGTTGGTAGATTGGACTAAGTGATCAGAATATGAGAATGGCAGAACAATGGTGTGTCTAACTGCCAAACTGCAAAGAACAGACAGTCCCACTGGTGTGGGGGGAGAGGATGGTGACAGAGAATGTAACAAGTAAAGCTAAAAGAAAGGGAAGGAATGGGAATGGGTTCACAATCTGAAGGTGTTGAACTCTAATATTAAAGTTCAGAAGGTTTTAAAGTGTCTAGTCTGAAGATGAGATGTTTTTCCTTCAGTTTGTGCCGTGATCTGCCGGAGATTTAATAATGTTTAGAATTATGAAGGGTTTTGGTCAAGTAGATGGGGAGGAACCACTTCCAATGAGCTGACAGGTTGGTGCCCAGAGGAAACACGTTTAAGAGGATTGGCAGGGACAAGATGAGAAATTATTTGTTGTGGTCTGGAACACACTGCTTGAAGAGTTGGAAGCAGTTTCAATAGGAGCTTTCAAACAATAATTAGATAAATCCTTGAAGAGGAAACATTTATAGAATTTTGAAGCAAGAGTAAGAAAGTGGGATTAATTAGTTCTTTTGTTGCAGATGCAGTGGGCTGAATGGCCTCTTTTGTGCTGTGTGATGCTATCTCTTGGCTATTCATGGTATGGTTTTGATACAGACTGCCCATAAGACATGCTTAAATAGCAGTTACATCATTCTGCAAACAAGCAATTCTCTGGAGCTTTATAATGTTACAATGAAGTGTAAACCTTAATATGATGTCAGGTACTGCATTAGTAATCAAGCTCTCGATAGTCTTCGGAAAAGGTCATTTTGAATTTGTTTGTTTTCTGCTTTTGTTTTAAAAAAATAGCATTTGAAAATAAGGAACTAATGCTTGTAAAAATGCTCATGAGGTTGATTTAAAATTGTTGCAATATTAAAATAGTGTCAGTCATGGCTCAGTTGGTAGCATGTTTTCTTCTGAATCACAAGGCTCTGGATTCAATTCCCACTCCAGTACTTGAGTACAACAATCAAAGCTGACATTCCAGCTCAGTACTGAGGATGAACAGCATGGTGAGAGGTGTGATCTTTTGGATGAGATGTTAAACCAAGGCCCCATTCACCTGCCTGCTTGGGTGGATAAAGAAGAACTCATGGCTGCAGTTCTGTAAAGAGCAAGGAAGTTACCCCCCTGTCATGGCCAATATTTAACACTCAATCAACACTACAGAAAGGAGCAGATAATCCTAGAATCCCTACAGTGTGGAAACAGGCCATTCAGCCCAACAAGTCCACACTGCCCTCTGAACAGCATCCCACCCCGTCTCATTCCCCTACACCTGCATTTCCCCATGTCTAACCCACGTAACCTAAACATCCTTGGACACTATGGGCAATTTAGCATGGCCAAACCATCTAACCCGCACATCTTTGGACTGCGGGAGCACCTGGAGGAAACCCACGCAGAGACAGGGAGAATGTACAAACTCCACACAGACAGTTGCCCGAGGGTGGAATCAAACCTGGGTCCCTGGTGCTGTGAGGCAGCGGTGCTAACCACTGAGCTACCCTGCTGCCCAATAATCTGTCACTATCACATTGATGTTTAATGAGAATTTGTTGTGTATTGATTAGCTGCTTTTTTTTTTGCTAGAGCAATGACTACAAAAAGTAATTTGAAATTCTTTGAGACATTTTGTAATCATGAATCACAGTATGCATATGCAAGTCATTTTTTTAAAATGCTGAAACCCTTCAGGGAGGGAGACCTGTCATCTTTGGTCAGTCTAGCCCATGTGTGACTCTAATCCTGTGTTGAAGTTGTTGACTGAACACTGTCCTCCAAAAGTGGTCCAACAAATTTGTTCAGTGTTCTAGCAAGAGATGTCCCACAGCCACCCTCTCAGAGCAATAAAAGATGGACAATAAATGCTGTCCTTGCCAGTGACTCTCATTCTGAGAATGAATACTGGAAAAAAATTGCTGATTTATTATTCTTTGTAAATTAATTTTTTTTTTCAATTCTATTGCAGATGATTGATACAGAATGTTTTAAAGAGGTAAATGCCTTTGGGACTGATGGGACATTATCACCAGTTCTGGACAGCAACAAGCCCAATCCACCTCCAAAACGAGGCCTATTGTACAGGCTTTGCAGACGAGAGGTAAGCAGCTTCAAATTCTGTAAGCGATGTCTCCTTCACCGCCTCTGCAAATGCCCATCACCACCACCACCATTTATTTTGCTCACCCAAGTCATTCCTCATTCTTCCTCTTCTGAAGAACATGAATCTGTTTTGGAAATCTTCTCTTCTGCCCTTTTCACGCAGCCCCCATCACTTAGACCTGGAAGATGTATCTGCTGTATTGGGGAATGGCACTAAGCACCTGTAAAAATGCTAAAGGTTGACTGCATTGGCACCACTTAAATATGTTAAGCGAGACTTTTTATGCTGTTCCGCTATTCAGTACTCCCACTTGTAACTGAGTCAGAGAATGTGTGTTCATCATGCTTTTGTTAATTATGTTTACACTTGTTTATATCCAAACATGCTTCGTTGACCTATTTTCTACTGTCTGTAAACTTGAGTTAATCCAAAACTTTACTGGCTAGGTTCTACCTTGCACCAAATTCCATTTACCCATTGTTCACATACCTCTCAGATCATTTTTGTCTACATTGGTTCCCAGTTAAGCAGTAAAGGTTTTAAAAAGTCTCACCCTATTTTCCGATCCTTTCAAGGCTTTGCACCTCTCTGTAACTGCTGTCTCCTCCTGCCCTGATACTGTCTGAGACAGCTGTATTCTCCAATCCTGATGCCTAACAACCCTGATTTTGCTGAACAGAGACACACACTGCCCAAGCCATTCTTCAGGACAAATGCAAGAATGCCATATTCGAAATGATCAATACAGTTTGTTACTGGAGAAAAGGGTGGTGATCAGTTAGTAAGTGTTATCTAATTGGCTGAGGTGTTGCTCTGGAGAAAATGGGGAACTATAGGCTCCTCAAGCTCCTAGTTAGTTAAGAAAGGTTGGAAGCTCCAATAACAAGTCTGTTCCTTGTCAGCGATATTCATGTGGCTGTTGCTGACTTTATTTTCTTTACCGTTGGTGACTGTGTCTTTAGCTTCCATGGCCCCCTAAAGACTGGCATTTTTTTCCTGAATCACTTTCTCCACCTTCAAGTCCCTCCCTTAAACTTAATCCAAGAGAAAGGGTTTTTTTTTTGGTCATTTGCCCTGATAGCATCTTATTTGGTTCAGTATTGTATTTTGTTTAGTAAAGCATCTGGGATGTTTAAGTCTAGATCTTGGAGTACTGGATACAAAATCAAAATTGCTAACCTTTTGTGAGGGTGGACTATACAGTTGAAGGTGTAGTTTTTCATATGAGACACTAAAATGAATTAGTACTGCTGACTTCAGTCCCGCTATAATCAAAGGTAATAGAAACTGCTCGTGGCATTAGAGCTAAGAGCAAGAGTGGGTTATATGGTCCCTTCAGCCCAGACTGCCATTCTGTTTAATCACAGCTGATAATCGATTTCAACTCTGCTTTTGTACCTTACTCGACCCCTTACCAAAAAGAGTCAATTTCAGTCTTAGATACATTGTTCAATTGAGTATTCCTAACTCTCGTTGGGAGACCATTCCAAAGATTCCTCCCAATCTTAATCCTGAACTGAGTCCCCTTTATCCTGGGACAATGCTGTCACTCCAGCCCTCCAGTCAGGGAAAACAGTCTCTTGGCATCCACCCTGTGAAGCACTTCATGAATGTTATAGCAGCCTTGTAATCTCCAGGAAGAAAAGGGCTATTCTAAATCCATCCTCACGCCTCCATCCTCTTATCGCAGGAACTTGCTCCCCACCAGGCACTTCCCCCGCAAAAGAAATCTGTAGCCTATCTTGGGTGAGGCAACAAAAACTACATGCAGTTACAAAGCTAATGTATGCATGTCTCTTGTTGTAGGTCTGTTTCAAAAGTAGCTTCAGTGATGATGAAGACGACCCTTCAAAAACTCTGTAGCTGCCAAGTTAATCATACATCACCACGAAAAGGAGAAAACTGATGTATTTCAGGTTAAACTGGGAACATGTATTAAAATGTATTATATTGCAACAAAAAAACTGCTGTATGAGTTTACATATTTTGTACATTTGTACTTGAATTATGTCCTAGATGTATATTTTCACTAAAGTTGTACAAGAAGCCATATATTAAGTACCACTTGAATGCACACATTAATTTTAGCAGGAATGACTTTGGAATTATCTATTTAAAAGTTTATTTTTAATTATTTTTTTAATACTGATAAAGCACAGCAATGTAAATTGTGTGCTGTTTGCAACTTGTAATTCGAGTGACTTGGCTGGATTTTATTTCAGTACAGAATGGGCCTATGCACACAAGCATTTGCTGTCTAGGTGCTTGCTAATGATTATACCACAGAGTATGTATGTGTATGCATGTGCAAATGTATATGTGTTTGTATATAATGTGTATATGTGTGTGCGTGTGTGTATAAATGTGTATCCTGGAATAGCACCTGTTGGACCAGGTAAACTTTTTTGCCTCAATGCAAATTGTATAAATTCTGTTCTGTTTTCTTTTGCCTTGTTCCGTTGGAATTGAACCTTTGTTGCTGTGTTCATAGGCCTAATGTTTTATCTTTTAAAAAGAGATTGTAACTAAGGCCACTGATTTACAGTTTTCAGCTGGGGGGAGGGGAAAAAAGGACAGAATATAACCCTTGAAACTCAATATCATGCAAAAGTATAAGCAGGAAATTGATACATTTGATGGTTCTTAATTCCAACAGAGAATGTGAATCCTCGCCTTCCCCTGACACAGTGAAAATCCCATCTTGAGTGAAAATGGAAGTTATACTTTGTCTATCCTTAATTCATTTGGCCTTGTTCTATAAATGGGTCCAGTCACACAACATCACTTCTCCTCTACTCCTAGTTTAAAAATTCCTGGTAATGCAATTAAAGCGAGAGTTGATTTGGTTGACGGATGTGAACCAGTGGCCCTGGTAATTTATCAAAAGATCTGTAACCTCATTTATCTGTGAAAGCATTCCAATATTCACCTTATCTATATACCTGAAGGTCTGATTACATCAGTGATCGGTACCAAACAGTTTAGAAAAATAAATTTAGTGTTGGTTATTTTACCTATGATTCATTTACCAAAAGCTGTGAAGGACTTAAGTTGATGGTCTTTTTTCCTGTAATATTGACCTTTGTGGATTCAATGTCTTGCACTAAGTGCCATTTTATTTTTTAGATGTTGCCTGTTCTCGGAAGAGACTTTCCAACTGTATTTAAAAAAGCATGAAGTTAATGTATCTGCAAAATTACTATTGATCAGGCATTTCTGCACCTAGATATCAGAATCTCATGTTGAACAGGTCTGATTCCAATCTACTTAGTGACTGTTTTGTGCTAATGTAAGTATGTTTCTTTTTAATCCAGTGTGTATAACTTTCCTGAACTGGGAATTTTCTTGGGTTCTTGCCTTGTGTCGCTGGGTTTTTTATTCTGTTCAAATGTTTTAAATTAATAAATACTGCCATTTGTATACAGTTGTTGTCCGATGTTGGTGAATGAAGCATCCACAAGCGGACTCCTCAGCAAGATGCATTAGCTCACTTGCTGTGGTCCTGCTGGAATTCTCCCACTCACCAATATTTCTAGTTCTCAATACTCAAACAACACATACAGATGGAGAAGGAGTGGTTGGATCCGAATTGAATCAGCTTCTTGTTCTCAAGCAACCCAATAGTTCATCAAATGGCCTGAATTTCTTAAACTACAATATCCTTTGCATTCCAACTTTTGATTGCGGTCTGTCTGTTAAGTTCTCTCCTAATGTTGGCCACAGACCTGCTTCACTGGATTTAAGCTAAGGCTTTTGGCCCTTTCATTGTACACTAAAGAGTGCTTGGTGATTTTTGATCATTCAGATTTTCATAAATAAAGCTCCTAACCTCCTCCACACTTCTAGGCTGTGCATTTCATAGCGTGACGAGTTGCTGTGTGAAAATGTTTTTCCTCGTTTCACCCTTACTCTTCTGCCTGGGTCTGTATTTTGCATTCTGTAGTCACTTGGTTTAAATAATATTTTGTGTTTCATTCTTCCTTCCAGAGTGAAGAATCACATCGTTCTGTATTTGTAGAATCTTCCTTACTGTCCTGGTTTAACACCATGACCTTTTAACTTGTTATGATCTCTACCTTCATTAGTTTGTACAGTTTGTACCCTCTGCATGCGACTGTTATACCTATCATGTTATTTCAGTCATTTGGTTTATCTCCAGCACCACCTTTTTTTTTATAATTATCTCTGCCTCAAGTAACTGGATTATAGGTCATCCCTTTCACTTGCTATTCAGCTGTTGACACTTCACTCATACCATCTGACACCTTTGATCACCTGCACAGACTTATTATTTGAAACTCCCTCACACCACTTGTATGATCTTTTGATCTTTTGCCGATTAAGTTCTGTGCCTGTGTGCTTTTCTTCACTTCACCTGACAAAGGGGCAGCACTCTGAAAGCTTGTAATTTCAGATAAACCTGTTGAACTATAATTTGGTGTTGTGTAACTGCTGATTTTTGTCCACCCCAGTCCTACACTGGCACCTCCATACCTTGAACTGCTGCAGTCCATTTAAGATGGGTAGACCCACAATGCATTTAGGGAGCGAATTCCAAGATTTTGATCTGGCAACACTGAATGAAAAGCAATATAATTCCAATTAGGATGGAGAATGGCTTGGAAGGTAACTTGGAGGTGCTGTTCCCGTGTATCTTCCAGATGGTAGTGGTCACGGCTTTGGAATATCCTGTCTAAGGATCATTGGTGAACAAAGTGCATCTTGTGGATGGTACAAACTGCTGCTCCTGAGCATTGAAGCTAAGGGGTGTGAATGTTTGTGGATGTGGTGCCACTTGAACAGGCTGCTTTGTCCTGGATGGTGTCATGCTTTGAGTGTTGTAGTTGTACCCATCCAGCTGAGTGAGAAATATTCCATCACGTTCCTGACTTGTGCCTTGTAGATGATGGGCAGATTTTGAGGAGTCAAGAGGTGAGTTACTCATGGAATTCCTAGCTTGTGACCTGTTCTCGAAGCCATGGTGATTATTATGGCCAGTGGAGTTTCTGGTCAGTGGTAATCCAGGATGCTGATAGGGCGCGATTCAGGGCTGATAACACCATTTGATGCTGGTTAAAGTAAGATTTAAAAACTGAAACTAGGAACAGGAGGCAATTTGGTTCTTTGAGCTTGCTCCACCATTCAGTATTGTCATGGCTGATCTTCTATCTCCATGCCCATGTCCTGCTTTCTCTCTAAACGAAAGATGCAATTAGAAAAGTCAAGCCAACCACCCCATCAGGCACTCCTGGGATGGGGACAGTAACAGGTTAAGTGCAGAATAAAGCTTACTCTTACTTTACTTTTATTTTTATGTTTGAAATAATAAAATTTCCCCAACTCTTGAACTGAAATAAAGTTCCAATGACGCTCTTGGGGCACGCGACAAATAAACAACCAAAAAATGGCTTTTCTTGATTCTGTCACCACCAACTACGCTTGGGGTAGGAACAATAAGGGGTTGAAATGTGGAATAAATGTTCCTTGACTCAATCAAATGCAAAGGAAACAAAAGATCAAATCCCCTCAGCTCTAACCCCATTAAATACTCGCAGGACAGGGACAATAATGTTCTAAAAGTCAGAGGGAAAGGTTTCTCTACCTGTTGCAAATGAAAATAAAGTTTCCCTTACACCATCAAGCATTTCTGGGACGGAGACAACACAGGATTAAACTAAAAGTCCCCCTTGGCTCTTTCAAGAGGTCCAAAGTTGTTATAAAAGGAAAATAAAACAGCCCTCTTCCTGGGGCACCAAACCAATAACCAATGCATACTCAATCAAACAAATTTACACTATGCAAACAAGAAATGAACTCGATCAGAATATAGTTATCCAGGCTGATAATGCAGTCCAGCCCCTGCAGCGCCCATTGAAAGGACTCCGCCGTACCAGTGAGCACTGCATGCTCACAATCCAGAGACACCTGAGAGCAGAAGTAACAGTGAAAGATGAGCAGACAGTCCGAACTGATGAGCCCCTCCTTGGCCCACTGCCTGCACCTGTTAATGGCCTTCTTTGCCAAAGCCGTGAGAAGGTCTGTAGACTTGTTTGCCCCTCCTTCTACCGGGTGCCCCTAGATTATTAGTGTGGGGCTGAAGTGCAACCAAAATTTCAACAGCAGCTCCTTCAAAAAAACTAAAAAGGAGCTGCAAACGGATGGATGCGCTCAACACAAATATGAAACACCGACTCCTCCAGGCTTCAGAACGTGCACATGGTCTGGCACCTGATAAATTTGCCCAGTCACCGGTTCCACTGGCCTGATGCATGTAGCACTTTAAGAGGGGAGGACCTCATTGTAGATAACCCTCCACTGGGGACTTCTGCCACCAGAGGGTAAACATCGTGCCAAGGCATGTCCGGGCAGCAGGCAAAAGCATGGCAGTGAAAAGAGTATAGCATCAACCTGTTCAAATAGTGCTTCTGTGCCAACCAAAAGAGCACCAGGAGGATATCGCTGAGAGGGCTCAGGTGGTGGGCCACTGTCCATAGGGCAGGGTCAATGTTGAGTTGCGGACAGACGGTGTCAGTTCTTCCAGAAGCCCACTGCATGCCTGAGCTGCCTCGATTACATGTGAGTGGTATCAAGGTTTTGTCTGCCAGGCTCTGGATGGCTCGGGTCACGAACCGGAAGTGGCCAACTGTACCAGCGCCATCCAGCGTAGGGCTGACCAGAGTCAGGAATATGTTTGAAGTTCTTTCCTCCCTTGGCCAGCGTAAACTGGACTCGAGGAGGAACCTGTGCCTGAGCAGTGGCTCCCTGGTAAGAGCCGTCACTCCCGTAGGGGGGAGAGCTCCAGTGTGAGCTGACCCTGTCCCAGACCAAGTAAAGGACAGGCAATTCCTGGAAGAAAACCCAAGGCTGGGACCACACCATCAACAAGAACTGCGTGTTGTAAGGGAGGCCGTGCACCTGACAGAGGAAAAACTTCATCAGAGTGCACCATCTTGGAGGCGGCTTGACGTAAAAGTATTGCGTCAGGGTCTGAAGACAGAAAGTCGCTACCTGAATGCGAAGGCACACCAGCACCTGACCGTCCTCTTTAAGCAGGAGACTCGGAACTGCAGCAGTGACCCACTTACCTTTTGTTCCAGAAAAACCCGACCAGCTTTTCTAGATGGTTGTGACAAAGCCAGGGGGAGGAACCAAAGTGACCAGTTGGTACCACAACATGGCGGCCACCAGCCGGTTTATGGCTGTCTCTCTCTACCCACTGAAAATAGAACCCTGCTATGTAAAATAGCTGTCTCGCACATATGTTTTAAACTTAACCCCTTTCAGCTTAAACCTATTCCCCCAAGTATTTGATATTTCCACCCTGGGAAAAAGACTGACTATCCACCATATCCATACACCTCTCATAAATTTTATGTACTTCTATCACATCACTCCTCGGTCTTTGACACTCGAATGAAAAATTACATCTGAACTCTCCATATAGTTACTACACTCCAATCCAGGAAATATCCTGGTAAACCTCTTTCGCACCCTCTCCATAGCCTCCACATATTTCCTATGGTGTGGCAACCAGAACAACACACAGTACTCCAAATGTGGCCTAATCAAGTCATGTACAGTTGTAACTTGATTTGACAACTTTTATATTCAATGCCCTGACTAATGAAGGTAAGCATACCGTATCCTACCTTTACCATCTTATTCACTTGTGTTGACAATTTCAGGGAGCTATGAGCTTGCACTCATGATGCCTCTGTTTATCAATACTTTTAAGGGTCCTGTCATTTACTGTATAATTTTCTCTTGCTTTTGTCCTCCCAAGATGCTTCACCTCACTGGGCCGGGTTAAACTCCATCTGCCATTTCTCTGCCCAACTTTCCAACTTTTTTAATAGTTGTGTGATGTGGGTGTCGTTGACTGGCTAGCATTGGTTGCCTGTCCCTAGTTACCCTTGAACTGAGTGACTTGCTAGGCCATTTCAGAGGGCGGTTGAGAGTCAACCACATTGCTGTGGGTATGGAACCACATGTAGGCAAGTACAAGGTGAGGATGGCTGATTTCCTTCCCTGAAGAACATTAGTGAGGCAGATGGGTTTTTTCCAACAATCGACAACGGTTTCATGGTTATCAGTAGATTGTTGATTCCAGACATTTTGTTTTTTTTTGAACTCAAATTCCACCATCTGTCGTGGTGGCATTCAAACCATAATCTCCAGAACATTCGCTGAATTTCCAGATTAATAGTCTAGTGATAATATCAATAGGCCATTGCCTTCCCTCAAATGGTGCATATCCTGCTGTATCTTTTGATAACCTTCCACACTATCCATGTTTCCACCAATTTTTGTGTCATCTACAAACTTACTAATTAGACTAATTATATTTCATCCAAATCATTTATAGTACAAAAAATATTGGTCACAGACCTCTAGATAGAAAAACCCCGCTTCACAACTACCCTCTATGTCCTATGGCCAAGACAATTTATGGATGGGTTCAATGGATGGAAGGCTCGTTTGCGTGATGGACTGGGCTGTGTTCATAACTCTGTAATTTCTTGTGGTCTTGGGCAGACCAGTTGACATAACAAGCTGTGATGCATCCATATAGGATGCTTTCTATGGTGCATCTATAAAAATTGGTAAGAGTCATTGTGGACATGAGAATTTCCTTAGTCTTCTGAGGAAGTAGAGACGTTGGTGTGCTTTCTTGACTGTAGAATGGACCAGGACAGATTGTTGGTGATCATCACCCCCAGGGACTTGATGCTCTTGACCATCTCCACCTCAGTGCCATTGATACAGACAGGGGCGTGTCCTCCACTCTGCTTCCTGAAGTCAATGACCAGCTCCTACATTTTGTTGACATTAACGGAGAGATTCTTGTCTTTACCCTATGCCACTAGGCTCTCTATCTCTTTCCTGTACTCTGTCTCGTCGGTGTTTGAGATCCTACCTACTCGGTGATGTCATCAGCAACTTGTAAATGGAGTTAGAACAGAACTTGGACACATGGTCATGAGTGTATAAGGAGTACAGTAAGGGGCTGAGTATGTTGCCTTGTGGGTCACTGGCATTGAGGATTATGCTTACTGATCGTGGTCTATGGGTCAGGAAGTCAAGGATCCAGTTGTAGCAAGGGGGAACAGAGCCCATGTTCTTGGATTTTGGAGGTGACTTTGATTAGAATAATGCTTTTGAAGGTAGAGGTATAGTCAGTAAGTAGGAGTTTGATGTAGGTGTCCTTATTATCCAGATGTTCCAGAAATGAGTGTAGGACCAAGGAGACGGCAACTGCCGTGGACCTGTTGTGACAGTAAGAAATTTGTAGTGGATCAAGGCAATCTGGGAGGCTGAAGTTGATATGTGCCATGACTAACCTCTCAAAGCTCTTCATAATGATGGATGTCAGATTCATTGGGTGGTAGACATTAAAGTACGCTGTGATTTTTCTTTTGCACCTGGATGATAGTGGTCTTCTTGAAGCAGGTGGGAAACTCAGATCAGTGAAAGGATCAGATGTCTGCGAGTACTCCCGCTAGCTGGTCTGCACAGGATCTGTGTGCGCAGCTAGGGACTTCATCCCTATTTGCCTTAATGTTTTACAAGACACCCAACACTTGCTCCTTCTTAATATTGACATGTCCAAGAATATCAACATATTCCTCCCTAATCTTACTGTCATACGTGTCTTTCTCCTTGGTGAATACCAATGCAAAATACTCATTAAGGCCTCACCCAATTTCTCTGGCTCCATTTGTAAATTCCGTCCTTTGTGCTTGAGTGGACCTAATCTTTCCCTAGCTATCCTCTTGCTCTTAATATACATATAAAATGCCTTGGGGATTCTCTTTAATACTACTTGCCAAGGACATTTCATGGGTCCTCTTAACCCTCACAATTCTTTGTTTAAGTTCTTTCCTGCTTCCTTTATATTCCTCAAGGGAATTGTCCAATTTCAGTTTCCCAAAAGTTACATACTCTTTCTTCCTCTTCTTGAAAAATCTTTCAATATTTCTTGCCATCACAGGGTTCCTGAATCTTACCATCCTTATCTTTCATCCTCACATGCTGGTCCTGAACTCTGATCAACTAGTTTTTAAAAGGGTCCCATATGTCGGATGTGGATTTACTCTCAAAGAGCCATCCCCAAATCTAATTTCTCCAGCTTCTGCCTAATACTGTTGTAATTAGCCTTCTCACATTTTATTATGTATATTTATTCACAATCTACTTTCATATTCTATATTTCCCCTCTAACTCAAAGTCAAGTGAGGGGGAGAACTAGAACGAGAGGTCATAGTTTTAGGAGTAGCAGATTTATGACCAGAAGCAATAGGAACAGGAATAAGCTGTTCGGCCCCTTGAGTCTACTCTGCTATTCAATCAGATCATGGCTGATCTGACATCCTCACATCGGTTTCCTGTCCTTTCCCTGTAATCCCTACTGGTGGAGAATCATAGGAATTAGGAGCAGGAGTAGGCAATTCAGCCCTTTGAGTCCACTCTGCCATTTATCATGATCATGGCTGTTTTATCCTTGTCTCAACTCCATTCTACTGCCTGCTCCCCATACACTTTATCCTACTTTCCATCAGTAACATATCTATTTCTTTCTCGAATCTATTGATTGATTCTGCCTACACTGCACTGTGGGGCAATGAGTTCCACAGTTTCGCAATCCTGGGAGAAGTAGTTTCTGCTCATCTCAGTTTTGAACCTACGTCCTCTCAGTTTATATCTATAAACTCTTATTCGAAAATGTCCCACAATGGGGATCATCTGTTCAACTTCCCTTTTGTATTTTATATAGTTCAATCAGATCCCCTCTCATTCTTCTGAACTCCAGTAAGTACAAGCCCAAGCTTTTCAAGTGCTGCTTGTATGACAGCCCGTTCATCCCTGGAATCAATCTGGTGAATCTCTTCTGAACTGCCTCTAGTGCACTACATCCTTCCTCAAGTAAGGAGACGAAAACTGGATATAACATTCAAGATGTGGTCTCACCAAAACCATATATAATTGTAACAATACATTTTCAGTTCTTTAATCCAGTCCTTTTGCAATAAATGCCAGGATTCCATTTGCCTTTCTTATTATATGCTGCATCTGCAGACCCACTTTCTGCAATTCATGCACAAAGATGCCCATATCCCTCTGCACTGACACACTTTGAATCTGCTTCCCATTTAAATAATAATTTGGTGTTTTATTTTTCCAGCCAAAAATGGACAACCTCACAGTTATACACATTAAACCCCATCTACCAGATTCTGGCCCATTCTCCTAGCCTGTCAATATCCATCTGTCAATATAAACTCTTTACCTCCTCGTCACAGCTTGCTTTCCCATGTATTTTAATATCATCCGCGAGTTTTGCTATGTTACACTCTGTACCTGCTTGCAGATCATTTATATAGATTGTAAATAGTTGAGGACTGAGATACCACTAGTTACAGTTTCCCATCTAGAGAAGGACTGATTTACCCCAAGCCTCTGATTTCAGTCAGTCAGCCAATTCTCTATCCAAGCCATTACTCTACCGTTAATTCCCTGGGATCTAACCTTCTGGATCAGTATTTTATGTGGAACCTTGTCAAATGCCTTCTGGAAGTCTATATATACCACATCCACCAGATTCCCATGACTCACCTTGCTGGTTTGATCCCCCAGCAAGTTTGTCAAGCATGGCTTGCCTTCATGAAATTATGCTGACACTGGTGAATTGAGGTTTGTTTCTCCAAGTGTTCAGTTCTCTCCTCCTTTATGATTGGCTGTGGCAACTTCTCCACTACAGAGATCAAACTAACTGGTTATTATGATGTGGAGGTACTGGTGTTGGGACTGGGGTGGACAAAGTCAGAAGTCACATGGCACCAGGTTATAGTCCAACAGGGTTTATTTGAAATCACAAGCTTTCGTAGCGCTGCTCCTTTGTCAAGTGAAGTTGCTTAGTCACTTCACCTGGTGCTGTATGATTTATAACTGGTCATTGTACAACATTCAGCACCATTCCTGACTCCTCAGATACTGAAGCAGTCCATGTCAAAATGCAGCGAAGACTTGGGCAAGAACGATCTTGTATCTTGCTTCTGACATTCGTCACGAAAGCATGTCCACAAGGAGGTGGCCAATGGACTCTTGCTCACTATGGTCAGGTTGAGCTGCAACATGGAAGGGGATGAGTTTCCAAACATGTGGAAAGGTTCTTTATCGGATCCATCTGCCAACTCCTAAGTTAGACTACAATGTGTTCAAGCCAATCTTCTGAATCTAAATTTATTTAGATAGACAACCCAAACAGCCAGCCTTCCCCTCTCCTCATCGGCCCGAACCTGGCCATTGATTGGTCAACACAACCATCATTCATCCCTTTCCCGCCAGGCGGCGCCAGCCGTTAAATTCACATTCTGTCTCGCCTCCGGCCTGCTGTCATTGCTCCAAATATTGATTGGCCAATTAATCCATCAATCACTGTCATTGTCCGTTCTTTACTGGTTAACCAGTCCATCAATTAAACCGGTGACGATCAGTCCTGTCTTCAAACTCCCGGTACTATCCGATAGTGGATTGGTTCGTCCGTCCATCAATGAATTGAAGGGCGGGATAAGCATCGTGTCCGCTGCCTCGGTTGGTCCAATGTCTCCCAGACACAAACGGTTTTCATTGGTCCAGTGGTCACAAATACCGATCGTCGATTGGTTAATATTTCCATCAACCAGCAGCCCGCGCGCGCGGGCATGACGTAAGGTTAGGCGCTCCAATTTGGTCCTGCCCCCCAACGTATTCCGATTGGTCCTTGGGGCCAAATGTCGATTGTCTATTGGTGAATGGGGCCGTCAGTCAGTTGGTTGGAGGCGGGGCGGCTGGTGCCGTCAGGTTTGGTTGCAGGGGCCTGGTTGTGGGCCATCACCCTTGGCAAGATGGCGGTGGTTGCCGGTTGTGGTGACTGTGACCAAATCTGTTTGCGTGTGTATTGCGGTTAGAAGCCTCTCAGCCGTCGATACGCCCTGACGTGGAGGAGACAGGTTTGGTGCTCGAATTGACTTGGCAAGAAGTGCTTTTCCCGAGCGCTTCTCCTGCTCCGCTCCCATTATATTTCCCTTTCTGCCTAATAAAATGGCAACCATGGAGAAACTGATGAAGGCCTTTGAGTCACTAAAGTCATTCCAGCAGGGACCGTCCAGTGAGGAGCCGGGGCAGAAACAGTGAGTAAAACGATCCTGGTGAGAGAGTGACACAAGGGTGAGGAGTTTGTAGGGGAGCTGATGGTGAATCCCGCTGACGCACAAGTACTTGCAGAGATCTACAAACAGCAAAACGCGTGCGCACAAGGATACAAACACTAACACAAAATTTCACTGTGACATGCATGCTAGTGTACAAAAATCGCACCCTGAGATGCTGGTGTGCATTGGCGCTTCATGGTGTCCTTCCGTACATTGGCGCTTCATGGTGT